ATTTCAGAATAAAACCTTAGGAGACAGGCATGATAAACTGGTTGAAGAGGGAGACATCGGGGACAGAAACAGGAAGAGGGAGATTCGCAGCTAGAGAGATCGTCATGGTCTAAGTCCTCTCTCTGCACTCCCTGTCTTTCAGCCTGTTCTAGATGTGGATCTTCGGATTACAAAGCTCAGCATTCACTCAACGTAACACAAATTATGGGGGATTATTCTAAGGATACAGAGGGATCAGGAATCCAAGGGAGGCACGGTAGAACACCCAGTGACCAAGAACCGGAAATTAGGAACAGAGGCTACTCAAAACATCTCTCCCTCCTCCCCCTCCCCTCCTTCCTTTCTTACTCATTTTGCACCTGGCCCACCTTGGCCACAAGCCTCCATCTGAGGAGCCATCACCAATGAGCAGAGGTTTCTTCACCCCTTCCTTCAGAATCTTGCAAGAGGAAATCTGATTGGCTCAGTTCATCTGATGGAGCCAGGGACACTCAAGTCCACCTGGCCAATGGCCGGTTGGATCAGATGTATGTCTCTGGTCCAATTAGCCTGCTGCCCCTCCCATGGTGAGAGTGATTTGGTTTTTTTAGAGTGTGGCCTGGCAAAACAAGAAAACCTGTCTCTTGCAGAGATGTGGGGTGTATCTTTTGCCCGGGCCCTCATCATGGGCAAGGCTGTGGTACTCATGTCACTGACCCTGAGGTCCGACTAACTCTGAGACACTTAAGGGATGTCTAAGGACTCAGGAGCTTCACTTACTGTCCTTGAATCTTGCAATAGAAGGTCTCCTTGTTTTATGTTCTCCCTGGACTTCAGGGCTTTCATGAATATTACAAACCTTTCCTGCTCTGCTGGAATTAAACAGTTAAAATTCATCCTTTTGACTACTTAACTTTACAGTTTCTTTTACTGATGAGACTGTAAAGTTTTTGAAGGGAGAACTCCAGATTTGAAGATTATCTTACAGATCACAGAGTCCAACACTCTTATTTTACAGGTGTGGAAACTGAGGCCCAGAGAGAGGAAATGTCACACAGCACGACAGGGTCCGGTGGGACCTGGAACCTCCTTTCTCACGCTTCTTCCTCATGGTGCCTTGCCATGCCCCATGCGTAGCATGCAACCAATCAGTATTTGTAGCTTTATTTCTCAAGCTCATTATTCTCTCTCCACGTCCCTTCCTCCACCACCAACTTCAGCTTCAGGGGATCACTTTGCACCTGCCTTTCAGGTGTTGGTCTTTGGGGCTGTGTAGTGGAAGCTGAGAAGAGCCATGGGTGAAATTTAACCTGGTTCTAGCAAGCCTTTATCTCTCCAGGATAACACCACAGTCACAGAGTGTAGACGCTAGACTGGCAACTTCATTCTGCAGAGTCAGTGGACACCAAAACGCACGATGAAGCCACTCTATGGCTCCCGCTGAAGGTCGCAACTTCTGCAATGCCTCCCAGGGCAGTACTACAACACAGGGGTTTGGGCCACCACTGACCTCCTCCGAATGGGAAGTTACAAGTGGATGAAGCCCCACCTTCCTCCCAGAAGCCTTCTCTGACCATTGCAGCATCCTAGGATCTCTCTATTTTTTTTTTTTTTTTGAGATGGAGTCTTGCTCTGTCACCTGGGCTACAGTACCATGGCATCAGCCTACCTCACAGCAACCTCAAACTCCTGGGCTCAAGCAATTCTTCTGCCTCAGTCTCCCAAGTAGCTGGGATTACAGACACCACCACACCCAGTTAATTTTTCTATTTTTAATAGAGATGGGGTCTCGCTCTTGCTCAGGCTGGTCTTGAACTCCTGATGTCAAGCGATCCTCCCACCTCAGCCTACCAGAGTGCTAGGATTACAGGTGTGAGCCATCCTGCCCAACCCACCTAGTATCTCTTAGTTTATTCAACGTCACCCTCACAAAGTGGGCACTTCATTCATTTTCCTGTTATCTTCTGGGTGTCAGCCTGGTCTCAGCCCCTGAAGGCAGGTGGCTTCTCTGCCCCAGCACTCTGGAAGGTTCCCGCCAGGCCTTCAATAAATGCGTGGACTGACAGGGGTAACTTCCCTGGAAAGGCTATGGGGGTGGGTGGAGAGAAGGTGTTGGAAGAAAGGAGAAATAATTACTTTTTGCTAGTGTCTTAGGCAAGTGTGGATAAGGAGAAGCAACTGCTCACAACAAAGAGAAACATTCTGACTTTTCATTTCTAGGCTATGTGCTAACAAATCAGACAAAGGCAACTCCTGGTCACTCAAAATCTGCCACAATTAAACCAATGCCTGTGTCATTTTCCCCAAGAATCACCAGTTCACTAACTCTGTACCCAGCAGCTCTTCCGACCAAAGCCTGAAGGTTGGACATGCGATCAATTGCAGAGCAGAGAGGGCAGGGCGGATGGGGGGCCGAGGTAAGCCCCAGGCCTCCCTCTCTGAGGATATTTGGTCTGGGGGATCCACAGAGCCTTCCTCTCAAATTCCAGCCTGAAATGCCCATCACCAGAGGCCACTCTAGAGAGCTCTCAATAAGAAGACAAAAATGTCAGGGTTGCAGGAGAGAATGACAAGAATATCCGATATATTAATGAAGATTTATTAGAATGCAGGTAAAGCAGAGAGCCGGGCTATGAGGATACGGAAAACAGGAGGGAAGTTTTGGTGGGCAGGGAGCAGCAATGTGGGGCTTAGGGCACTGCCCAGAGAAGGCAGCATCGTCAGGTGGGGTGACACACTATGGGGGTCCTTGGGCAGCAGGGTAGGGAAGGGGAGAGCATGAACACTGTCAGCTGATGAGGGTTAAGAGAGCGAGACCAGTAGGAGTGAAGACTAGACCTGGGCCAGGCTCCTTGAAGACAAGCCTAACTTATTTTACACATTAAGATGAATCACCCTCAAGAATCATTCCCGCACCACCAGCTCTACTGGTGTGAGTCTGCAGAAAGCAAAACTCCAGGATTATGCTTGTGAGCCAGAAAGACCTGGGACAAGAAAGGGAATCAAAGTAGAGCACTTTCCATATGACAGCGTCAGTTTAAATATGTTACCACCATTGGTTCTCACAAGGCTGAGAAAAGCTGTCCAGTAAGCCACCCAAGGTCATCCATTTGGAGGTGAAGTAAGCTGCCGAAGGTCGCAGAGTCAGGAAGTATCATGCCTGGGATTCAAACCCAGGGTTCAGGCTGACTCCGGAGCCTATTGTCCCCACTGCTCTCTCACCCCAGGCAAATGCCCCAAACAGAGGTGTGTGCTCTCCATGGATGTTTGCCAATCTGCACATTGTCAGCCTCTCCCCACCTGTGAGGGTGTAATTTAAAGCAAAAGCAAAGCCAAGAACCAGACAATTCTACTCGTTTCCTTTGCAGGTGGCGTGCCCGTCACGTAATGTGCAAACTCGACATTGACAATAAGGTAAGTAAATGAGAATTTGCTGAATGGAAAGACTCCACTACTATTATTTAATATTTTGGAAACCCAAGAAATTGTCCAGATGTTAAAGCACAAAAATAACTCACTGCTGAGCCAATGAGGCATAAATGCTAAGAGAGACAAACGAGCGGGAAGAGTCAGGTGTGCTCAAACACGTTCCTTTCAGGGGTTGGGGGAGACAGCCTGGCACCCAGACAACTGGCTGCTGGTACCCAGTCTGCCTCTTACCAGTCAGGACTGTGGACGAGTTGCTTAGTCTCTGGGCCTGCTGCCTCACTCTAGAAGGGAGGGGATGACACAAGAATCAGACGAGTTGATCTACAGGATGTGGATGTATGTGCTGCTTTGCTTTCCTCCTAAGACTTGGCCCACGCAATGTCTCAAGCCTCCAAGACGAGCTCTCTACCCAAAACAAAATTCCATCCATCCTTCAAGGCCCACCCACAGTCAGCCCCACCTCTTCTGGGAAACCATCCCAGGCTCCATCTGCCCTCTAGACTCACCCTCCAGCCACCCCCCTCTTGCCTTTGCTGCTCCCCCACCCCCAATCTGTCCCCTTCTGCCCTATCAAATTGCTGGGACGTTTTGAATTAATTTTCTTCTCTCTCATCTGGAGACTTTGTACCCTGTAGCCTTAATGAGAGGCCTACCCCTTCCTTTGCCTTTGTTAAAAATCTTAGAAATTCCTTGCTCAATTACCACTTCCTCCAGGAAGCCTTCCTGACTCTCTCTCACTCCCATCTACCCTCCATCCTGTTTGGCTGCTCCAGGTTGGAGAGCAGGGGGGGATGGGGGGATGGGGGTGGTCCATAGCACCTTGGGCTCATACAGTTCCTACAATAAGTTTCTAACCCCTTTGCTTGGTGGGACATACAGCATTTTATACAGTATTTCTCCTGAAGGCCTCTCTGTGCCAAGTTCAGTTTTAACTAAAACATTGGTGATCTGGTTAAGTGATTACTGAATTATCCACTGCATTGAATTCTCCCAGCTACCATGTCCCAGCCCTTAGCTTGGCCAAAGGAAAATTAATTGGTTGCAAAGTGCATATCTAATTACAACATCCCGCCCCTGCCACAGAGATGCTCAAATGTTAATTATAACATATGCATCTCAATAAGCGAGCAAGGCATTTAATGTAGCATTAATTATGCCACTTGGGCCCCCCAGTGCAAACACAAAGCTCCCTTTTATCTGCCATTAGAACGGATTTTGCACTTTAAGCAATGAAGCTCTCATCTTTAAAGCCTTTCTGACTCTAAAACCAAACGTTTTCCGTTAGTGTGAACTGCGCCTAAGCACCTAGTTCTCCCACCGCAGAGGTCCCCACCCTGGGCTGCGCCAGCACCGTGGAGTCGTTGCGGGGAGGGTTTCGGCGTCGCTGGACTGGGCTGTCTCGGCGGTTCAGGCGGCAACCCCAGCGTCCCCGGGCCACCCCGCTCTATAGGGCCCGCCATCCTGGGAAAGAAAGGCGAACTACATTACCCAGCAGGCCTCCCGCCTCCCTCTTCCCTTTCAAGTCTTTGCACGTGGCCAGAGGGGAAGGCGGGGCCTGGACGTCACTCTCCTACATTCTCTTTCCCTGTGTCAGATCAGCGAACATTTTTTTCCTTCCTTTGCTCCCTCCCCCTACCCGCCCCTCCCTCCCTCTTTCCCTTCCCTCCCTCCCTCCCCTCTCGGCTGGGTCTTTGCGCCCGGGCGCCGGGTCCCCTCCGCAGCTGGGACGCGCCGAACTCGAGGCAGGAGTCGGCAATCCAGAGCCTCGTCCCTCCCTTCCCCTTCCCTGCCCCCTTCCCCCACCCCTGACTCCGGCTCAGCGCAGCGGCCAGAGAAACCCCGAGGTGAGCATCCCCTCATCCGTCCTCCTCTTTTAGTCATCCCAGCTTGCGGATCGATCTGAGGACTCGGGAGGAGGGCTGCGTGACGTGCGCGTGCTTATAGATAAATCCGGGAAAACCGCCCCAAACAATTACCCCCTTCCCCCTCCCTGCGCCTCTGCCAGCGGGGTGTCCGCACCCATCCACGGCCCCCTCCTCCCCCTCTGTGGGGGACTACACTCCACAATCTTGCCCCCTTCCTGGGTTTGTCCCATTCCCTGCCGCGTTTTGCGCTCCGTGGGGAGCCGTGGCCCTGGAGCCCCGGCGCCCAGGGGGGTTCTTGGGGGGTGCGCGGCAGGAGCCCGGCTCGCGTTGGAGCTGCGCGGTGTAGCCGCTGTCATGTGCCGGGTTCCGACCCGGGGGGAGGAAGGGAGCGAGCGTGAGTCCTCTCCCTTTTGTTTTGAAGCCCGCATTTGCTGCATCGAGCAGTTGGTTTAGTACCAGCCAAACTTGCAGCTGTTCTGACTGCGCTCCGCCGAGGTAGGGAGCGCGTCTCGGGGCCGGGGGCTGCCGCACTCCGGGCTGCCGGAGGGACCCGGAGAGTGTGTCTCCACGCCGCCCCTCCCTCCCCTGGTGACTGATTGTGTCTGTGGCAGCGAGCGCGCGCGCGTGTGTGTGTCTGCACCCGTCCCCGCGGGCTCGGGGATGTCTGTGGATGGCTGTCGTCTAGACAGGGTGCAGCCCCCTCCCTCTGTGCCCGGTGAGCCCGCGGGCCGCGGGGGGCGCCGGGGATGGGAGCAGAGGAAGAAACCAATTGGTGGACCCATTTCGGTCTCGGCTTTGGCCATTCCCCACGCTTGTGATTTTGTTGTCTTTTTTATTATTCCCGTCACCGCGGTGTAATCGGGCCTGGGGAATAGATCCGCCCGGCGGAGCAGGGGTTAAGTTGACAGGCTCTGAAAAGCCAGCTCTCGGGGGCGAGTGACCCGAGCGGCCGTGGGGTGGGCTCCGGCTAGAGTTCATTAGGACGACAAGCAGGTGACTGTCCCGGGCGCCGGTCGTGGGGGGGCGGGGGCTTGGGCTGCGGCGAAGGTCTGGGGCCTCTGAGGACCGCGTGCCGGTGCCTGGATGCAACTGGAGGAGGCGTCCCAGGGACCGCGCGTCTGAGCCGGGTATTTCTCCATTGATGTTAAAAGACAATCGGGGATCCGAGCCCCTTATCTGGGCGGCGTTGGCTCTGGTTCCGCGGAGTTTCAGGGTTGGGGCTACGGAGGGGGGCTGCGAGCAGGGAGGGGCATTCGGCGCGTAGAGGGGAGGGATGGCTGGTGGCGCTGTGCGCGTCCCCACCCCGAGGAGTGAGGCGTCGCCTCCCCCGCCCCGCTGTATGTGTGTACACACCGCTCTGGCGTGTGTGGGGGGCGGGGACGGCAGACCGCGGCGTAGTGGGGACGCCCGTGGGCCCCGAAACCCCGCAGGACCGGTCCTGCCAGCTCCCTTGCGGTTCTAGTTGGGGTCGTGTGTTCCCGCGCGCGCGTCCGGGTTACTTGGAGAGGGGATCCTGCGGCTATAGGCGGGGGGAGACCCTGGGGTCGCTTGTGCTTGTCATCCGTGCGGAGTCCCGGACCCGCCGTGCGGCGGGAGTCACGCGGTCCCTCCCTCCGCGTCCCCGACGCCCCCTGACCCAGCCGCCGGGCCGCCTACCCGGCGGCCCCAGGGGCTGGGCTGGCTGGGCGGGGAGGAGCCGCGGGCGCGCGCGTGTCGCCGCCCCCCGGACACGCTGGGGCTGACCCTTGCACCGAGGCGCTCCGCGGGTGTGCGTGCCCGCGCGCGCCGCCGCCGCCTTCCCAGACCCTGGAGAGCTGAGCGCGCCCGGCGACCCCTCAGCCCCCAATTCTTCCGTCTGGGGACAGTGGGAGCCGCAGGCTGCCTGGCTGCCCCAGTCCAGGCCCAGCCCGCTGCTGCCGCCCCGGCCGCTGCCCGAAGCCGGGCAGCCCGCCCGCCCGCTCGGCGCTCTGTCTCCGCGGCCGGGGATTGTCTCCGGGCCTCGGGCCGGCGCGGCAGGGGAGGAAGCCGCTGGAGCTGCCGGCGCGGCGGCGGCGAAAGTGACACAGCGCGAGGGCCGCGGCCGCCAGGGGCTGGAGGAAGAGGAAGGAGCCGCCCAGAGCGCGGGAGGGCCCGCCCTGCTGTCCGGCCCAGCTCCTCCTGCCCAGAGCGGGGTCTGGGCCGAAAACCTCAGGAATCCCGGCTCCGAGCTGGCTCCGGCCGCGCGAGGAAATTGCCTGGCTTTCAAGAAAACCCAATTGCACGGGAACAGACTGCCCCGAGCAGATGCTAGACGATGGCCAGGACGCACTCAGGTTGCCTGAGGAAACTCCCTCTGGGGGAGTGTTGGAAACAGGACTCGGTTTACACACAGATCGTCTCACCTGTGTGTCAAGTATCTGTTCTGGATGATGTATGCTCAGAGGCAGTAATTTTGTAACACATTCTGGGGTACAGTGTCATCAGTGATTAACAGATTGCTAGAATAATAATACGTTTGTATGACCTCACAGGGCAGGTTTGTTTTTCAAGTATTATAGCACTTATTAAGAAGGTCGAGTGAGGCAGGAAGGAGAATATTAACCCCATTTTACAGATGAGCACACTGAGGGCCAAGAAGTGATGTGACTTGCCTACAACCTCTCAGTAAGGGAAGGGCTACATTCCTCCTCTGAGATTTCTCTTCTCAGCCTATGGCTTTTTATTTAAATAGTGGCCATTTTTTTGAGAATGGATTCTTGACACCTCAGCGGTACTAAACCCAAGAAAGTGGGTAAATTGTGCTGGTGCTTATTCTTTTTCAGAACACTTTCAGTCTGCTGACAGTTCCTGATGAGAATAGCCATTAAAGAACAGAAGTCTGCATGACTCTAATTAGCACCCATTTAATAATTTGCTCTTGGTGAATAGATATCAGCTGTGATACATCTGGTATATACCAGAATCGTGCTTGCATGTAATACATGCGCACGGCATACCTGTTCAGGCAGCACGTGCCTGTGTTCATATGGGTATGTTCTTGGAGTCCTTAGTGAATCCAAGGTCTGTTCTTTAGTTACCGGTTTCGAAGCCATTGGATTTAAAATGTGGACCACAGAGAAACCATCCCAGGTTATATGCTCTCTGTCCCCCTCCTTCTCCAGGGTTGAGGAAGCCCAGAAAAGCAAACAGAGCTCGTCCATGCCTGTCTGTATTTCTCAGCATTTATGTACTTGAAGGTTCTCAGGCATTGTCTGGAAGGTTATTAAGTTTGTCCAACTAATCAGCTAATTAACCATTCACAGATATGTAGTGGGCACCTACATGTTTGTGTATCTGGAAGTGTATATAAAGAAAATTTAACAAATGTTAAATTAAGTTCAGCAAATGTTTATCAAGCGCCTACCTTAGGTTAGACACTCAACTGTGTTTTGGGCACACAAAGATAGTATAGCAGAAACAGTTAAGTTATAATGCAATAACAGAGGAGGGAACAAATCGTAAATATTTTAAAGCACTCACCCTGGAACCTAGTCAATTTCACATATGTTGGTTGCAAGGGGCCCATAATGCCAGTTCTTATTCTAGAGCAAATGCAGAAGGGAGCAAGGAGGTGGGGAGAAGATCCTTATATCCCTTGGTACCTTAAACTTCATTCAGGCTGTTTGGAACCTTCCAGGAGGGCCCAGAGCTCTGTCCTGTAGAAGTTAGGCAGCTAGTGGGAAATTACCCTGAAGCCACCCAACAGGTTCTGCTCAGCATCAAGAGCTGAGGAGGTGTTCTCTGAGGTCCCGCCCCAGGTCTGATGGTGCTGTGTTTCAGTGAGGCCATGGCTTTGGTGAAGGTCTTGCTCAGGCCCTGCCTGGGTATAGGGGTTTCTGTCTTACAGGTCTGTGTAGATGTTTTAATATGGGTCCACTTTTTATCTATTCTCACACTTACTCTGCAGGCCCTGAAATTGCCCTCTAATTTCATTTTAGTTTTGGACTCCATTGCCCTTGTTTTAAGGTTATGGTGTTTGCAGTTCAGATCATGAAGGAGGAAGCCAGAGATGGGCGGTGAGGATGGAGACAGAATTCCCAGCCCAGATAAATAACAGGAGATACAGACACACAGGCAAATTACAGTTTTTGAGAATTCTCCAAACATGATGGTGTTTCTGCATAACTTACCTGATAAGGTGGCAGCCATTTTTTGATGTTGTTGCGGGTGAGGGTGGGGTGAGGGATCCCCTACCTCTGGGCCCCCACTGCTGATTCATGGGTACCCTGAGCCCAGCTGCTCACTTGCAGGCTTGGGTTTTCTTCTGCCCTCCTCCCTCTCCTTGCACTCAGTTTAATTTAGAACCACGTGGCAATGGTGGCCTTCCCCCTGCATTATTACCATCATGCCATATCAACATCTGCCTCTGATTTCTGAATTCAACTCAGGCCAGAGCTGTGGTTTAGAACAGGATGAGAACAGACACACCCTTGGATCTTAGGCACCCAGAGCTGGGGAGGGCCTTGCAGATGATCTGATCTCCATGTGAAGACCTTAAGGCCCAGAGAAGTAGAATGACTTGCCCAAGGTCACAGCGAGCCCTTGGCAGAGTGGGACAAGAAACCCTGGAATTTGAGATCTTGTCCAATCTTCTTTCTCTATACTATGATGCTTTCTGAAAAAAAGTTGCATCCTTACTTCCCAAAGAGTGAGAACTTTATATCTTCTTCTGTTCTTTCTTCTGGTATTGGCAAAGGCTCTGGGGTAATTTTTCCGTTTTGGTTTTGCTTTCTTTCAAGACTGGCCTTTCCTGCTTCGTTTTCATCTTTGGCATCCAGGAACAATTGAGGGCATGTGTTTGGGAGAGATGGTAGGCTTGGGGTCTTCCAGCACTCTTCAGTTTGGTCTGTGGCTTTCTGGCCCTGTGGCAGGGTCCTTAGGAACCTCCTGGAAGTGTCTGCAAAGCTGATATGTATGTGTATTTTTCTAGAAAGAGGATCCTCAGATTTCATTTGATTCTC